TTATATAATATTTTTATTATCAAAAAAATTATAAGGTGCGGTTTTAATATAAATAACTATAAGTAATAGACCTCATCTAACTTATTATTTTAAATCTTTCCATCCACAATTAGTTATAAGATCTACTATACAAAAATATCTAATTATTATAAATTCAATTCAAGAATGGTATTATTATCTAAGATTTAATTTTAATCTAATTTTAATTTATATTTTACAAGAAAATGAAGTATTTTATATCATTTGGTGTTTTTAATTATTACCAAGCATGTTAGAGCATGTCTTTGTTATAATTTGTATTTGAAACTACATAACGTCTTAGAAATCAACAAAGCTTCTAAACTCCTTCTATAAACATTCTTATCTAATTTTAGAGAAGAAGAAGAAGAAGAAGAAGAAGAAAAAAAAAAAAAAAAAAAAAAAAAAAAAAAAAAACTCACATAATCAACAAAAAATCGTCTTTTTGAAACAAATAATGATTATATCTTAAAGTTATTAGATAAATAAGTCTAATTGAAACTACTTCTTTTGATAAATTTTATTCAAATATGTTTAATTTTTTTTTATTTTCTATATAAAAGAAATATTTATAATAATTTTAATAGATTTGATATTATTAAATGTCCATTGAAAATTAATCATATATTTCAAAAGATAATAAAAAATCATATATATTTCAAGTTTGACATGACTTTCTAACAATAAGTTATTTTTTATACAAAAAAACTTTGGACCTTCTTTCAAGAGATTTTTAGTGATTATAAATGTAGAAAGTTATCAAAGCATTAGTTTTATTTTGTTAAACTTGTTTTTAACAAAAATATCATATCATCTATCATCAAAATTTCTTCAATCTCTAATTATTTTAAAATAACATTGATCACCTATTTTACTATATTTTATAATAGATTTTTTTAGTATCATTTTTTTATAAACATATTTTTAAAATGGAGGATCATTAAAATAAAATAATATATTTTGTGTCTCATATAAATAAAATTATTAATATATATATATATATATATATATATATATGACATTATTAACACTACATTCTTAATTGATATTGTCACATCCCACTTGACCTTCTTTTAGACAACTAGTTAATAATATGTCTCTTTCTTTTGTGCATTATTTTCTTTTATTGCTTTAAAAAATGATAGTAGTTGAGAGAGACAATGTATATTTTATTTTTTTTAAAAGAAAAAAAAGAAAAAAAGAAAAAAAAAATAAGCTATTTTTGAAAAAATATAACATTTGTCCCAAAAATTGTTTAAGTCAAAATTTTGTTTATTTTATTTTATTTATTTGGCTACCAAATAAAATAAAATAAATATATTTTTTATTTTTTTTAAAATCAATATCAAAAATAATTATTAGATTGCCAAATATGCCATAAGTATAGAAGTGCACTTTTTAGTCAATTTAAGTTATGTGCAAGTCATATAATATGTAACAATATCAATTGGAGATGGAGCATTAATGATTCTATATTTATAATATAGATTTTAAAGTGATGTTATATTAAATTAAAAAACCTTAATCTATTCTAATTTTTTAGATAATATTTTAATATACTAAAAATTATTATTATTATTTTTTAATTTATTTTCTTTAAAGCAATAAATAAATAGATTATAAAAATCAAGTATTAGCATAGTATTTTTTTTTGTACTATCAATTATCATTAAGAAAAGATAATAACTTTCTTACCATTAGAGGAATTTTTATATTAAAATTATAATACATAAATCTATTACCATGTTGTGTTAATTATAATTATTATCAATAATTTGAAACATTGATAGAAATTTTGAATCTACTATAGTATAAAAATATATTAGAATATAGTAGCGCAAATATAATACTAGTGAATATACATAGAAACCATCTAAATATCTCACAAATGCTTCAAGTCTTATTTTTATATGACATGAATAATTGTCATAAAAACCAATGCCTAACTATTGACAATAATTTGGTATACAACAAGAAAAAACAAAGTCAAATATTAATTCTTATATTTTTTTTGCAAGATAAATAATCAACATTCAATAGATTGATTTTTAGAGTTTTTATTTTTAAATATTAAATTGAGGCACTTAGATTATCTCAATATTCACAATGTCAATATCAAAATAAAGATTCTTAATAAAAAAGTATATTTTTTAAAAATTAGACATGTGCTTCCTTAAATATATAGTGACATACAATATGTATCATATTATAATTTTTAAAAACAATTCAAATCTTAACAATACTATATGAAGTGGATACTACACTTTATAGCATTCAAAGTGTAATAATTATATATATATATATATATATATATATATATAAGAACTTCTACAATAATTATATAATTGGATGGTATTTTAGCCTTAGTACAAAACAAGAAATCTATTAACCACCTTTGTATAAAACATGGATCAAAACAAATATTTTGTACAATTTTCTATTATCAATATATTCTTGCACTTATATTGTAAAAAATATTTGTATAGCTTGTTAATGTATAATGAATGTTTTTTTTATTAGAAATTAAGGTACATACCAACAAAAATCTTTAATTAAAATAAATCAAATAAATATCTAAATTTTATTCAATATAAAATACCATCTTTTATTTTATTATATTATTTTACTATGCAATATTATATATATAATTATTTTTATATTTTAAATATATTATTTTTTTATTAATTTAAAAAAATGTGTATTTTAACATCAAAAATACTTTCAAATTATATATTCATTATTATGGACTATCTAATTATTTATCATATAATTTTCAAGTTGTGTATTAAATCAGATATAATAAGTATGTTAGTGGTATTTTATCATTACTAAACTAGTTTTAAATTAAATATTTCCATAATTATAATAAAAACTATCGTCATCATCATCCAAGTACATTTATTTTAGTAAACAAATAGATTTTATAGTGGTAATTCGTGACATATGTATATTGTACAATTTTTTAAAAAATATTCTGATATAATAAAATATGTTCTATTATGTAGTTATATTAAAAATATATATATAATACTAATTATATATATATATATATATATGCATTTTTGTAAAATTAATAAAATATTTACTAACTAGTTGTGGAACACTTAAAAGTAAATATATTGTATGTTTGATGTACGAAGCCTAACTATCCATTGATTTTTAAATTTTTCTTTATCTACTGATATTGCCAATTGGTATTTATATGCTCTCAAAGACATCACCTTCATATTCTCTCTCTCCTCTCATATATATATACACATAGAAACTAAACAGAATATCAAACAAATGGTATTAAAAGGAAAGAAGATAAAATAAACAAACAAACGGAGTTGGATTCCAAAGCACAAAACCCAAAATAAGCAAGAAGAAGAAAGGGTGTTAGGTGAATTCTTAGCGTATTTTGGGTACACAAAATAAAATCTAATAAATTATTAATTGATGAGCTTTAATGTGGGCATGTGTGCGAACCAAGCTCACAATTGGAGCCATTTCCAAGTTGGCAACATGCCATTGTGGCCACAGTTACAGATATTAGTATGGAATGCAAAAATAGAGTAATTATGATCTTATCCTGTCAAGTGGTAGGAAAAAAGCTCCAGGTTTCATCGTTTCGAAAAGACAAGAACAGCTTTTCCTCCTTTGGAACCGAATGCCCCAGTGAGGGGCCACTTGGAGCACTGTTTTAAAGCATTTTAATTGCTTTTTGTTTCCTTTGTTATTACCTACACTGTTGTCCTAGTTTCAATTATTGATGGCAGTGGAACTTATAAAATTTGTGTATTACAATTAGGCTGTTGTTTCGTGTCTATGCATGCACAACAACTGTTTTTCTTCATCATTGGATATTGTTATTAAAGTGAATGGCGATGCATCTATTAGTCAAATTTTTTAGTTGGCTTTAATGAGAAAATTGTGAAGTTCACACTGATGTGTGTTTACAGTATGTAAACAAAGAGTGAGCAACGTTTGTAAATCACATGTTGAATCCTAGACAATATTTTTCCAATGTTTAGCATTTAACATTCAATTTTATTTGTTTATGCACAGATCATGTATGACTAAAATTACAATCACTTCGAATTTCATGTTTAGATTAAGTCAGTTTAAACAGTAGAATATACACAATTAAGACACTTCTAGAAGTCAAGTGGTGGGATCTAGGATCTGAAGATTGATTGTTTTATATTCATGGCACTTAGTAAAGTTACATAATGTTATATTATATTTTAGTAAGTATGAACATTTAAAAACTATATTTAGAAATCCCCAGATTAATCAATTCAATTTCAGCTGAATATCCTGCGTAGGAGCCAATTTTAGATGCAAGTGGGGGAAAAAAGATTGTTGAACCTAAACTGCTAGATTAACGTCAGTCGAAACTGCACTTTCTCCAGATGAGTAGACTGCATTTTGGTTTAGGAGCAGGGTTTTAATAATGCTTCCTAATGTCTTCGTTGTCACGATTTGAAAATTTGACTTTCGTAGGCTTTCGCGTTTCAGTGTGAGGAGTCGCACTCACTGCACGTAGGGAGAGCTTGATATATCAAATATGCAGATAAATTTCAGCAGTGTACATGGATCGGACTTTGTCTGTAGTGCCTGGGATTCGCATTGGCATCCTGGCTTACTGAATTTCTCAAAAAGGAAATGGAATAAGAAATAGAAATGAATATGATATTAGAACGTAGGGCCGCTGGCATTAATAGAATCTCTGACTGCCCCTTATGCCAAGCAATCATCATCCGCACCGTTTTCCAAGACTGAAAGGGAACAAAATGTGAAAAATAAAAGAACAAGTCCATGACTAATAATCTATGGGGGACGCGAAATCAGGTTTCCAAGTTCCGAGTATTGCAGTAAAGTAACTAGTCACTGAAGTGGTCGATATCTTGCCGGGATTGAGGGTCCACATGGGCGGAGGACCCAGCGTTCTGTAAGACTCCGTGGTTATACTCGCTGTGAATTTGGAAACGGTGTCACCAGCAACCGACACGTGAATACATCAAGTTTAGTAAATGATGTTGGCCTCCATTGGCTCAATGCAGACGCACATCCTGCAGAACTGCAATGCCCCCCTGCCCTGATGTGATCAAACATCCGATTGTGAAGGAGTGTTGATGTTCAGGAAGCAGCTGTCGTCGAATTATCAGACGGCGCTTTACCTCGATCGTCCCCTCCCGACAGTCCAGCCCAACGTTTATTTCCTTATGTCGCTTGCTTGTGGTTGCGAACTATCGACGTAAGCTGGTCTGCGGAACGTGCAAGCGGAGTTGGTATCAGTCAGACGTGTGTGAAGGATACTTAGAACGACAAAGATCGGAACGTGGGGCTGGATTACTGCAGAAGGCCGAGCAGTAGACAGTTAGGTTGGTTTTTGCGGTGTTGGTACGTTCTATGGTAGTAGGAGGGTGGAACATGGAGATGTTTTCATCAAAGTTGGCTTTAAATCGGGAGATTTTGTAGTCGTAGGTTGAAAGATCAGTTTTGGTGGCTTTTTTACAGGCGGAGGAGTGAAGTTGAGGATGGGGAGGTTTGGATTAGACCAGGATAGAATATTTTTACGCAGCTAGATGTTTTAGAAAGCTGTTGCTCAGAAACTACACCTTGGGAATGTGGACCGGTGTTGATATCAGGGTTTGGCACAGGTTCAGCGAGAAGGTATCGATTAAATCAAATCATTCATGCACAGGAATCAGCTTCATCTTCTGTAGGGAAAAAAGCAACTTGATGTATAGGTCATGTGCACGACTGAATCTTAAATTCTTACCGGCGCGGACGATAATGATTTAGACCGTGTTTTTGGAACTGGCACCGTTGTTGTGAGGCACACTCGGAGGTAATGTTTCTTCAGCAGGTTTTTTAAAAGAATTGGGTTCAGGTCGTGAGCGTTTTCCCCTTTTTCGACTCTATGTCGTGGAAGCGCTGGCGACAGCAACATGGTTCAGTTCTTCTACTGGACGATCGATGATGTCATTCTACTAAACACGTTAGGTCAACCTTCAATATGATGCGGATGGCTGATGCCGAAGACGGAAAGATAATGGAGCGTACTATCAGTGAGAGATGGAATTCTCGGAAAGCATTGCTCCCCTCATGGCACAAAACGTCGGGCAGTTGCGGAGGCTCTTGCATGAGGAACAAGCCTTTGCGTGTATTGTGCGTGGTGCTTGGGTGGATCCTTGCTTGTGGCGTCGGAACCATACTGTGGAAGAGCTCTTTGGATTCCATGCATAAAGAGTTCTATCTCAAATGTGAAAATCGGAAGGAGGTGAGTCTATTCAATCACTGCAATTTCACAAACCGTTGCTCACTAGTTCATCTGATGCACTTCATTCGAATGAGGGTTTGGAATGGGGAATCATTTATGAGTTCCCTGGAAGGTTTTGAAAAGGATGTGGGTTGTATCTTCTTCCAGATACTGAAGTCCGAGGTGGAGAACAATCTGAACGCTTCCTTTGTAAGCATAGGTCTGGTGGCGAGTCTGCCAGATCTCGACGACACCGTATGGCGCAAATTCACTCATCAAACCCTGTTTCTCCGTCCCAACGTAAAGAGATTACTGTACATGGAACGAGTGTTGAACAAAGACCGTGCCGCTTTTGAGAAGAAATGGAACGGGACCATCGGCTACTTAGTCGGCAATGTTGTTCATCCGAGGGGTAACGACTCAGAATACTCGCCAATCATCCACGAAAAGAGTGACTTGCAACATGCTCTTGTGGACCCTGCACACTATCCTGTATTTGCGTCAGCTATCCATGCCGCAAGAGATACGGGTCTGTTCACTCTCTGGTTAGCAACCGGAGACCCTTCCTCATGGCAAATGGGAGCTTATCTTGCGTACTACGGGCCGGGTAAGGAAGGATCCTCATTTGCTACCATTGAAGAGCGGAGGGCTGCTTGTCTTGGATACGTGGGGACTGTGCTGAACGTTTCGGAAATATTTGCACGCCTTCTTTCGAGGTGAGCTACGGATCTCTGAAAGAGTGACTTAAATTGGTTTTTTTTTTTTTTTTTTTTTTTTTTTTTATGTTTCTTCCCAATTGTACTGTTGTTTAGGATTTTGGGGTTGTGACCTTTTTTAAGGTGCTCCTAAGTGTTCGGACTTGCTGTCATAACTTGCGGTAACGTTAACAGGTTCATAGACGATGTGGACATGGACGTGGTATTTGTCTACCTTGTGGATCCACAGGCGACACTCTTTTACAATTGCAGCAATACAGCGGTTCCTTGTGTAGTGGCTCTCTATGATCCGGCAAGAAGGAGCAGAGACGGCAAGCCTGTGGCTTCTGTGAATTGGGATTATGGCACACTGATGTTTCAGTTGCGTTGTCTGCCCAAGCACAACTCGAAGTTGATAGCTCTCCGGAATATCATAGCATGGCCCCTCCTTATGTCTGTGGTGGTCCTATTTTTCTCCATCATCGTTTTCCTTGTGCTAAGAAGAATGCAAGCCATCGAGAAAGATGTGAGCATTATAGAGAAAATGAATGTCGACCTCAAGGCTGCCAAAGTGGCTGCTGAAGCTGCCGATAAAGCAAAATCAAGCTTTTTGGCAACAGTATCTCACGAAATCAGGTGAACCATAGTGTAATTTTTGTGAGATTTGAAACACGCAAGAAGATTTTTTGCAAAGCAGTTTAGTTCGGTTTCATCTCTGTGGGCGTTTTTGTGTAGGGTTAATGCTTTAGATGGAACATTTTCAGCTGGGATTTCTCGGTAGCCATGAATGTGTTCTCTGTTTTGCAGTTTGTGACATTATTAACTGTGGGCGATTGTGGTTTTTGGATGCAGGACTCCTATGAATGGAGTAATTGGAATGACTAATTTGCTAATGGGAACGGATTTGAGTTCTCAACAACTCGATTATGTCAAAGTTGCTCAATCAAGTGGAAATGCGCTCATGTAAATCACTCTAACTTTATGGTTGTTGCTGTATAACAAGAATGTGAATCAAGTATTTGGAGATGTCTTTCTGGCGAAATTGTGCGACTTAGAATGGAGTTAATGGGCATAGCATTCACTTGGAAGTATCAGCAGATGGGTTGTCCCTTAAATCCAATGTTACGCTGAACGTGTTGTGGTGCTTCGTGTAGTGCGCTCATCAACGACGTTCTGGACTTGTCTAAGATTGAGGCTGGAAAGATGGAACTGGAATCTGTTTCTTTCAACCTCCGTAAGGAAGTCGATAGTGTCTTTACTCTTTTTGACGAGAAACTTCAACAAAAAAAGCTCGAGGTGTTCATGCTCGTCCACGAGGCTGTGCCAACTTGCGTAACGGGTGACCCTGGCCGATTCCGTCAGGTATTGTATTTGATTGGTTTGTTTCTCCATCCATTCAAGTTTTTGAAATTTCCGAAATCATCATGCGAAGGTCATGATACTGCAAGATATGTGCTTTCTTTTACTCACACCTTGATATGACTGTTTATGTTTGGTGCAGATTCTGGTGAATCTTGTCAGTAATGCCTTGAAGGTAAGCACTGTTCAGACCTTCCTGTGTTTTATATGTCGCTTAGACTTGGATACCATACGTTATCAGCTAAGTCTGACTCATCTCCTTGGGCATTGAAAAGGGTTTAGGGCACTGATACTACGATCTTCACGTTGCAGTTTACTAAGGAGGGCAGTATTCTGGTTTCTGTTCGCGTGATGGACCCTCATTCGGAAGCTGATGATCAAGACTACCCGTCTTCTGATTCAGTTTACATACTAGATCCAGCTCAAAAAGCGTCCGGATCCATACAGATGTCCCAGATGGTACCTAACGCGAGCCCTAAGAAGAGCTATAATTACCCACAAATCGAAGGCGTGAAAAGAGATGAGTCAGATTTGGCAAGGGGTAATACTGCTCCAAGGCTAAGTATGCATCCTGGAGACGAGGCAAACACCAGAGAAGCCGTGGCAGCGTGGAGGGCGTGGAAATTGACAACGATTTCAGGCAGAAATGCATGCAAGCCGCCAAAGAATTTCACAGTGATAGTTTCTGTTGAAGACACAGGTGATTGTCCATGAAAGTGACTTTGGTTGGTTGGAACAATGATCTTGTTTGCGTGATAATTGAGTTTTTTTTTTCGATTGGCTCCATTTCGATAATTTTAGTTCTTTTTATTCTTGTTATATTTTTCCAGGTATAGGAATCCCACTTCACTTGCAGAATCGTTTGTTCCAACCCTTTTCGCAAGCTGATAGCAGCACCTCAAGGGAATATGGCGGTACTGGCATTGGCTTGTCTATATGTCAGGTAAATTCGTCTCATGTGAATATAAACTGTTCCTCGCTTTCTTTTAACATTTCGCTTCTATAGTACATGTGTCGTTAGACTCGAGTAATATTGTGTATGTTCAATTTCTTAGGCTATTAAGGTCTGTAAATCACCATGTCTTTTGAGATGTGTTAAATCAACCCTGTGGTGCAGAAATTAGTGAAGCTCATGAATGGGGCTCTAACCGTAAAGAGCAAGCCGGGAGAAGGCAGTGTGTTTGAATTTACTCTTCCTTTATCTGTTCCGGAGGAATCTGGTGATAAGCTGAGTTGTTGCGTTAAGGCCTCCCCAGAAGATAAAACGAAGCTTAGAGGAATGCATGTGGCTCTTGTTGATAGCAACATCGTCCGACAGGTAATATTTCATTCCTTTTGTGAAGATGGGAACACCAAGTTTCTGAGAGTTAACCAATAACATTTTTCTTAACAAGAAATAGAATGGCGCAGGAACGGTGTGAATCTAAAACTTGATGATGGTATTTGCATTTGTTGATTGATTACGGACGTCGATGAGGCTATGCTGAAAAAACATGTGCGGTACTGCAGGAAGTTACAGCTAGCTATCTGCGGTGTCTAGGCATTTGCATTGATTCGTTTACAGAGGACGTGCCAACTACCTTACAATTTTTACAGAGGTATGAAAGTGCTTACTTGTGAGGTCGTCATAACTTTTGTTACTTGGCTTTACGCGAAACACCTTTAAGTTCAAATCTCCAGTAGATTTGACTGGATAAGAGCTTGAATGTGCAGGGAGGAAAAAACGAAGGTACATGCAGTCGTTGTTGATCTAAAAGGATTACCTCACGAAGACATTCTGGAGTTGACCCGTTCAATACGCAACATACCTAGTTTGAAGGCCCTCCCTATGCTGGCTCTCTCGATGGGCCTAACGCCTACAGGGGAGATCGAACTTAAGGAAACTGGGATTTCTCACATTATCAGAAAGCCACTTCGGTATACAACCCTTGCTGCCGTTTTGTTAGAAACGATTGGAATACCAGCTAGGGCCCCCATGAAGAAAATCAATTTGAATGCCATTATGCTGAGTGGCAGAAGGCTTTTGGTGGTAAGTAATCCCATGTTTATATACCATTCTTTACACAATGGGTTATCTGATTTTTCTGCAACGTTATGTTCAAGCCGTATCTGAATGCCTGTGGTGCTTGACCACAGCTTACTGATCCTTTTGTTTTAAATGCCCAGGTGGATGACAACATGGTCAACAGAAGAGTAGCATCTTCAATGCTTACACGATATGGTGCAATAGTCTCGACTGTGAATGGCGGCGTGGAAGCTGTGAATGCTGTTAAGAACCAGAAAATAGGGAAGGAATTCGATTTAGTATTGATGGATATTCAGATGCCAGAGGTATATGGGCTGTTGAGCCTTTTGGTTTTCATTAATTTCTCTTCAAGTCCTCCAGTTCCATCATTTAGAAACGTCATGTGACATGAGCGCAGTTTGCTTCTTTACTATCTTTTGGGCCTTCAATAACTTGAGGGTTTGGACTGGCAGATGGACGGGTGGGAAGCTACGCGTCGGATACGACGATGGGAACTGGATTGTTGCAAGTTATGTTTGAACACTTGCGAGGACTTCTGCCCTCATCATCGGCTCCCTGTTGTTGCTGTGACTGCGGATGTTGTCGTGCAAACTCGTTCGATGTGCTTCGCCGCAGGGATGGACGACTACATAACGAAGGTAAACATTGGCCGTAAACTAAATGAACGACCTAAGCCTCGACAGACGATATACATCTACAAATCCAGTGTTTTTGTTTGATTCGTAACTGAGTCGAAGATGACCATTACTAATTCAGCTTTCAATTTTGTGGAACTGACAACAATATCTTCTCGCTTTTGTCTCTGGTAGCCACTGGATCAGAAACAACTGCACGCTTTGCTGGACCGATTCCTGAAGCAAGACTTAGTGAATGCACCTCTGGCAACCAAAACTGGACCAGTTTGCGCTACGCCAGTCTGTACCACGCCGAATTGTTGTCAATGAGACTGTTTATTTGACGTATTCCCTTGTGGGTTCATCGAGATTGACCGATGGTTTAGTAAAACCACTGGTTCCAAGGTTTGGTGATTCACATCTGGTGAAGTGTTAGGGAATCTGGTGTTACTTGTAATGTTTGTCTCTAACCTGGACTTCCAATGTACAGTGATGCACTAAGCCTTGAAGCATTGTTGAAGAGTTTTGTACAGTGGTGGATATCGCTAGAGGTAGCCGAATTCATTGCCAGTGGTTGACGTTTGCAAGATCACAGCTCACTCTTGTAACAAAACACAGGAGTTCTGTTTTCGAATGTTCAAGCTACTGATGTAAACGAAGAGGATGTTCTTTTTGATACAATCGACATTCTTTGTAAGCTGAAATTTAGTCAATTTTAGTTAAAAAGAGATTGGAACTGAAACAGCAATTATATAGCAGATCAAGCTGTAGATTAGCAATTTAGTGTATCCACTATTGGTTAAGGCACCTCGGATATGGCTTGGGAAAAAATTTCTGTTAAAACCATGGTATGAGTTTCAGTTGCAAGTTAGTTGTTAAGGTAACTGTTGATTTTTCTTTGACCATATTCATGATTGGCTTGTGTTCATATTCATATGTAGAATATATGCTTGATATGATAATACTGACGATACATTGTGCCCACCTTTTTAAAAAATATATAAGTATTTAAAACTTTTAATAATCAACATTGTTGCAGAAAGTCCATGGAATTCTATCGTATCTTCTACCTCGTGAGGTTTATATGGCTCTGAATAAATATTAAAATGCATTCAATTGGTTAGGAATACATAATCCCTATACTTTCGAGCTTTTGATTGTCCTAACCTTTAATTTATTCCACATTACTCTTAAAATTAAACAAATTTAGAAACTATGGCCTCTAATGCTCATTCGATTTCATTTTTCTTCCAATATTTTGCTAAAAAGATTACTTTTCGGAGTATTGTAACTGAATATATTGGATTTTATTACAAATAAATGTTATACATGTATTTTAGTATACAATTAATATCTTGATTAGAACTGAAGAATCAAATTAAATAAACAATAAATCAAGGGTTACGCTCTGCCTATAAGTATTTGTATTCCAATGCAGAAAAGTGTGAACTCAACTCCAAACTAAAAACATGAATAGAGGCAGCATGGAAAAGGTGCAAATGAGGTGTGGCACATCAGGAGAGTGGGAGGTGAGAAGGGGCCACAAAGTGTGAATTGGTTGTGAGTGTTCATAGGAGAACATGCTTTCTCACATGGAGTTCTAAGTATATGGTTCTTCAAAGTGTTGAGGAAAACGCAGCGGTGACTTACAGGGATAGTTAGTCTCGGTATCCTTCTGGGTTGGAACGGAGAACAACTCACTCATGGCGTGTGAACTTGAAGCGGGCTGCGGGGGCAGGGAAGGGTAGAGCCTCCCTCCCTCCGCTGTCGCTCTGCTGGGCTGCGGTGGTTTCGTGGCCGCAGCGAAGCAGAGTTGTGCGAGATGCTGCAGGGAGGGAGGACACATTGACGCGACGGAGAAAAGGCGAGTGCGATGCGGTGAGCGTGGATCGAACACGCGACCTTCAGATCTTCAGTCTGACGCTCTCCCAACTGAGCTATCCCCGCATGTGTTTTCGCCCGGGTTCGAACCGGAGACCTTCAGTGTGTTAGACTGATGTGATAACCAACTACACCACGAAAACTGCATCAGGACACACCTGCCGCAGCGGTCGCGCCCGGACCCGCTCGCCATGATGACCGAAGGCGGCTGCCCGGGTTAACCTCGTTTTCCCGCAAGCACTCCAGCGACATTGGGCCGCGATCCCTTCGCATCTGTGACTCCAAGGCTCACTGCGCACCCTCCAAGTGCCCACCTGAACAGTAGTATTTATTGCCAGCGGGCTCCACCACCCTCCTCCAGAGACGGAGGGAAGCCTGCCTCACCCTCACACACAACCCCAATCCCAACTCCAGCTCCCATGAATTCTCATCTCCTCACTTCACTCCCATGAACAATGGGAGCTCATCTCTAGTCCTTGATTTATTGTTTGTTTAAATTCCAAATTCTCCACCTAGAAGTATTTGTATTTGTATTCTCCAGCAGATCCTTACTGACTCCACTCCGAAGGCACCAATAGCTTCTTATTAGGCATCGTTTCTACCAGTTTTGAAAGGCCCAGCACATTTAAGTTCGATCGAGCTGCCGCTTGCGAGATCTTTGTCTTCAGGTGGTTCTTGGAGGTTCCAGGCTTCGAATTTCCGTGCTTGCAATAGTGGCAAAAATATGTCACATAATTGCACACGTTATCTGCATTCCTCGACTTTCGCTTTCTCTCGGTTTAAAAAAAAAATCCCTCTCGCTCGCTCGCTCTCTCTCTCTCTCTCTCTCTCTCTCTCTCTCTCTCTCGAAACTCCAATAAAATTATGCTATGCTAAAACAAAAATTAGGGATTACCGAAGTTGAAAGTGAAAAACCGTCGAACCTCTTTATTTGTCCAAGCCATAAGGTGCAGAATCCAGGACACACACCTTTCACAGATGGAATGAGGAGAATCGGGAATGGAAGCAGCTGCAGCTTCGCTCAATTGGCCAGGGCGGGTGCGCCGAGAGTTCATACGCATGCATAGTTAAAAGTTATTCTTCTTTCACAGTATTGGCATTTTTAACAAAACAATGTTACGGGCAACTGGAGGATGCCACACCCTTTGAATTTTAGGGCAATGAAAGTACCATCCCGGTGATACAGCAAAACTGATCCACCCCACTAAGCTTGAATGGGACTATAAACAAGTAACGTCACAAAGCGGGTGAATTATCATAAAGCAGGCACGATAAAGAAACTGTGTACGACTTGGAAAAGATGATTGCCATTTGAGTCAAGCAATTCATATCATGACAAAGCTTTTAGGGCAAATGAAAAAGAAAAGAAAAAGAAAAAGAAAACCCCCCCTCTTCGGCATTCGCTTAACTGCATCGAAATGCAAATTAGTATTCGATAGGCCGCTTCGAGCGTTGTCGGCCGCCTAAAAATCACAAGCGTTGGTCTCCACACCGCATCCACGTTAGGCTCCGATTAAGGAGCTGGGCAGAGTCTTGTACAACATTTGCAGCAGTTGCCAGCTAGATCGATCAATCTATGTTCAGCTCAAAGCTCATCTAAATCGATCACACTACATTGAGTAGCTGGCGGTTTCTGGCCCTCACTTGGAAGGCTATCCTTGATAAAAACGTATACCAACGATGCTCTTTGCAATTGGGGTGGAGTCACTAAAGCACGTAAAGCACGAATTGTTTGCCTGCAGCAAACGATCCTCTTCCAAGTTAACATATTCATGTTGTGGATTTCTGGGTCCTTCGATGGATGTGATGCTCAGAATTGCAAAGAGTGTAGGGAGCTGAACGTTTGGTGCAACGCGGCGACGGCCTCATCGACCTTTAAGCGGCAATGGAGACTGATTTGCACATGGAACGAGTGTAAGACAGTGTGGTGCACGCCAGACAGACAGAGGGGTAGGTCTCCGTGAATCGCGGAAGGCGCAGCGCTGCCAGATCCGAATTTACCGAGATCCCTCAAATGTGATCGCAACTCAAAGACTGATACAGTATGATTGCCAGCATTGCATTCTACGTCTCTTGGAGCGTATAGTGAACTAGATTCTGTGAATTTTAGTTAAAATGGAGCAGTTTCGAGTAGTTGGCGGGGTAAGAGCGCAGGATAGTAGTGACAATGTAGTTGTCCTCAAATTTGTTGCGAGACCAAACAATCACAGTGTAGACAATTCAGAGGATACCAGCTCACCGAGATATTTTTAACGTAGCCGCACACTGCAGTACCAACCAAGCATGGGGAATGCCGAGAGCAAGAAATCAAAACGCACAAGAGGCGCCGACAAACCCAAAGCTTGGCGAACACCACCAAATACGGAGCAAAAATTCCACAAGTGAGCATGGAGCAAGACACATCCTAAAACCAGGTAACATCTAAACCAACTCGTGTGTCTGAAACAGTTACAAAAGTCAATCCAGTGTCTCTGATACTTGACAACATTATACCAACAATCAGCTCAACTCAGGACGAGCAGGCTCACACAACCTTCAAACTCCAAGGCCATAACACTGTCATACACATCATAGAATCTTTTCCTAATGGCGGGGAGTCAGACTAGGATATCTTTCAATTACTTGATCCAGAGTCCAAATCTTTACCCAAAATATAGTAATACTTCCAAAAACCATTAGAATTTTAAGACTAGACATAGAAGACAATACTAAACATGACCACACCCTAATGTATAGCAGCTTTATAACACAATGCAATAGATGCTACTCATACAAGAGCAACACCATAGATTGTAATATACTTCAATGACCAGTTGCAAAACAATTCATATATTTAGAAAAAAATCAAACTACCTCATCATACAACTCAAATACAACTCCTACCAACAACAGCCTTGACCCTAATTCTCAAGGTATATCAACAACTCCAAGGTCAAAACACTAGTCCAGACACTACACACTTATGGGATTCATGTGACAACTTATCAAATACAACTCTTAGAACAAAGTCACATCTTTGGTGCAAGAATGAACTCTCAACTATCATACAATACACATCCACCATTCTTTTTGGATGGCTCTTGAATAGAAATTCCAGCTATAGGATATGACATTTTTACTAGCAATACTACTTATAATAATAATAATAATAATAATAAACAATAATGGAAAATATATGATTCCATTATTTTTACATACTACTTCATTGCCAATCACTTTTTATTTAACATATCATCAAATGAAGATCCAATAGACACTAAAGAGAGCATGCAACTATCTAGTCAATAATACCATACTTCAATTGTGTCCTAAATTTATTATCAAAAACAAAGATATGAACCATCTATGCAGTTGATAAGAGACACAATGGATGTATGAATGGCTATGCTCTATAGATCTATCTATACTTTGTATAATTGTTGTTCATATTGATTATAATAATATAATGTTTTCACTCAAAGCTGACTATAGGTATATTTGGCATATGATTCTCCAATATATTAATCAATAAATTCATATACAACCTTTTTTAGATGCCACAACCTAAAAGGTAGGCAAACAAGGTAGTTGGTTCTTTTGTGATACTATACCCTCATGCAATCTATCCCAAGTCTTTATCATCCTAATGGTTATATTTGAAGCAAAAATCTAATAAATTCTATTCATATATGAAGAGTCTACCAACAACTAGATAGAGAGCTCTTAGAGATGATAAAACTGCTTGTTCTTGCAACTCTAAACATTTAGAGCTTTGGCCATGAACAAGTTGGCATCTTAAAATAATGCAAGATCAAGAATTTTTTTGAAAGAACTATACCTAAGCTTGACATCAACTTCATTCAAGAATACAAATTTTTACCATACAAATGTAAAAAATGGACACAATAATTCAATTTTTGCAACAATATCATCATCTAGAGCAAAGATTATTCTCAACATCTAGAAATTCTTTTATTGGAGGAGTTGGCATCCTCTTCTTTAAGAATATGGCTACATAAGTTAGCAACCATGGAATAATAGACCTTG